GGGATGTAACCAATATCTACCTCTTCTCCTAAGGACCCAACGGCAAACCCAGGCACAAATCAGCCAAAGTTCACTCTGGGGAACCGATGAGTTTCTCGGGCTTCCTTACAGAGCATAGGTGAGGGGTACTTACAGGGGTGTGGGTGCTCCTCCCCCCTCAACATGCCTCACCTGGAAAGCCTTTACCCAAAAAGGACAAGAGTTTCCTCTAACATAGACTCCCTACCCTACTCTTTCCTCCATATGTACCCTACACACACACACACACACACAGCACCTCCCCCAGGTCACATGCAATGAGGCTGGGCTGTCTAGCAGGTGGGAGTGCACCTCACCTGTACCCACATGTACACCTGTACCACTTCTCTCAGAGGGCGTCTGCTCAAACAAAACGGGACGGCTTTGATACGGAAAAGAAGCACCAGGAGGCTAGGCGTGTGGGTGGGTGGTTCAGTGCATGTTTACATGTGCAGCTGAACCCCAGACAAAAGGAACCAGAAAATGCAAATTAGCCTCGATATGTTTTTTGATGTATCAGTGCTGGGAAATGGCTCAACAGCATCAGGTATTAAGTACTTGGTGATGCCCTACAGCATCAAACATGCTTAGGAACCAGCTGGGGGGGGGGGGGGGTCATTTGCTCACCCGGGTCACTAGTGAAAATCACTGCGGTACAGGCCCACACTTTTGAACTAGACTTTTGGCAGATCACTGGGGTGGTTTTCAGTCTCACTGATTGGTCCTTAGCCTGGATGCCACAAGAGTGGCACAGAGACAGCCATTCACACTGCTGTTCCTTAGAAATGCCTGATGTAGGGCTGGAGAGATGGCTCACCAGTTAAGAGCACTGGCTGTTCTTCCAGAGGTCCTGAGTTCAATTCCCACATGGTGGTTCACAACCATCTGTAATGAGATCTGGCGCCCTCTTCTGGCATGCAGGCAGAACACTGTATACATAATAAATAAATCTTTAAAAAAAAAATGCCTGATGTAGATAAGGTAATCAAATGTCCAGTATTATGGAAGACAAAGGCCAGCTACAGAGCTGGAGGAGATTTCCACAGGGACAGGAACATGCGCATGTGCCTGAACCCACGTACCAATGCACATACAACACACACATTTCAAAACAATCGACTCCATTGCTCTGCAGTCTCCATATTCACCAACAGTGTTTGTGATGTATCTTTCCAGAACTTTCCATCCTCAAGAACAATGATGAGGTGCCAATCACGGAGTGTTTTCTAGGGTCAAAAGCTAACCCCCTCTCATGAACGTTGACAATTTTGTGTTGGGACCGCATTCATGACTGGATGGCTGGCCCGGACTGCAGGGGGCAATGCACCAGAAGGTTTTTATTTGGGAGGGGTTCAAGAGAGACCCCGGAATGGATTGCTGGGGAGTAAGCATGCGTTAGAAGAGCTATTAGCACCATGGGCAGAGTGGCAACAGCATGTTGGGGCCTCAGAGGAGAGCTCAGTCCCAGCAGCAGAGCCCAACAGCGGACACCCATGGCAGAAGTAGTCTCTCCTTATACATCTCTGAGGATGAGGGAAGCTTTCACAGCACAAGTCTGAACCCAGGCTCCCCGATTCCTAAGCAGGACTCGGGGACGGTGGGGTGGGGGAGGCAGGGCTCACCAATATCCCTTTATATAAACTCAGTTCCCGTGGGAGAGATACTGGTAACAGGAAGTCTGTTAGCCAGGGACTCACAGAAGGTGTCTCTATAGACTGCCTGTGGGTACCCGTGAGACCAGCAGGCTGCTGGGTTCTGACGTTACATTCGCAGAAGTACCATGGGAGACATCTTTAAAAGCATGTTGTCTGCGGTCTACCCATTCTGTATTTTTTTGTTGTCTTGGCAACTGTCCTAGTTGGGGTTTCTATTGCTGTGAAGAGACACCATGACCACAGCAACTCTTATAAAGGAAAAACATTTAATTGGGGTGGCTTACATTTTCAGAGGTTTAGTCCATTTATTATCATGGTGCGACATGGTGACGTGCAGGCAGACACGATACTGGAGAAGCAGCCAAGTGTCCTACATCTTGGCTTGCAAGCAACAAGAAATGGTCTGAGACACTGGACGTGGCTTGAGCATATATGAGACCTCAGAGCCCGCCTCCACAGTGACGACACACTTCCTCCAACAAAGCCACATCGTGCTCATGAGACGACAGGGGCCAATTACATTCAAACTACCACAGCAACCCTTTGCAAAAAGCACCCCAAGTTCTTCTGCAGCTCTGAAGCCTCACTCTAATTCTCTTACTTTTGGAAAGTAACTTTCATCTCAACACCTACGTGAAGGAGGGAAGCAGGTATGTATATGCCCCCTTACTAAGAGCCAAACACAGCTCAGAAAAGACCTCACTGTGTGAAACCTCATCGCTCTGTACAGAGTAACTGCCAAATCAGAAAGGGGATCCCAGGAAGAGTTCGCTGAGACGCTAGAAACGAAGAAACAAAAACAAACAAAACATACTGTTGCGGTTTTCAGCTTCAGATATCTTTAGACTACTTTTCAGTTCTTAAAAACTGGTATTGAATGTGTGAGTGTGTGTGTGTGTGTGTGTGTGTGTGTGTGTGTGTGTGTGTGTGTGTAGGCCAAAAGAAGGTGTCCAATCCCTATAACTGGGGTTATAGGTAGTTGTGAGCATCCTTACCTGAATGCTTACATCTGGTCCTCTTGAAGAGCAGCAAGTGCCCTTGACCCCTGGGCCATCTCTCCAGCCCCAGACAACTCTTACTTTTTGCATCAGAAGTGACCACGTTAAAATAGTGAGCCACTGAAAGCCGCACTCCCTCCCTCCCCCAGTGCACACCAGGCAAGCCCCTCCATCACTCACTCCCTGACCAAACTCATCCATCTCTACCCCTTCCCTGACTGCTCACAAAATGGATAACAGCCACTCAACGACGAGGTGACTCTTTAGCGTTCTCTGCCTCCTGGAAGGGAAAGATCATTATGTTTGTGGCCTTGATTTAGTCATATGAAATCAGTATTATGTTTATGGCCTTGATTCAGTCACATGAAGTCAGCGCGTCAATCTGAAGCTGCACTCTCTCTCCAAGTGAGGCTTTGTATCAGTCATCACTTGAAAAATTCTGAATAGTATTTGTACAAAACTTTTAAAAAAATCTTATTTTGAAACTTTGCACTTTGGGGGAACCCAGTACCCTGGCCACCCCATCTGTCTGTGAGGATTCTGTATGGCCTGTGAGCAATGTGCTGCTTTTCCTCACCCAATCACCACTTTTTAAAACGATTTATTTTTATTTTATGTATTTGGATGTTTTGTCTGCATGAATGTCTGTGCACCACATGTGTGCAATGCCCATAGAAGCCAGAAGAGGGCATCAACTTCTCTAGAACTGGAGTTACAGATGGTTGTGGGCAGACATGTCGGTGCTGGGAACTGAACTCAGATCCTGAGAAAGAACAACCAGAGCTCTTAACCACTGAGCCATCTCTCCAGCTACCAACAAATACTTCGTTTTGTTTTGTTTTGTCTCAGACAGGGTTTGTCTGTGTAACAGCCCTGGCTGTCCTGGAACTTGCTTTGTAGACTAGGTTTGCCTTGAACTCACAGAGATCCACCTGCCTCTGCCTCCTGAGTGCTGGGATCAAAGGCGTGCACCACTACTGCCTGGCCCAACAGATACTTTTAGGTGAGGTTTCTGTAATATCTGTTAGTAGAGCCTGAAGGTTATTGGCTTTAAATGTGTTCACTTTGGTTGAGGTCTCTTTGGAGTCAATGGAGAGAATTGAAGCTATTTTTGATACTGAGATATTGACAAGTGTCTTTTTTTGAAAAAAGAAAAGGATAAGTAGCACAATGAGCTTGGGCACAGCCTTGTCTAGCATGCACAATGCCATAGATTTGATCTCCAGTAGCGTAAATAAAAACAAGTACCACAAAAAGTGACCCCACAGAGACACTAAGTCGATATCTGTAAATGGAGAGTCCACCCTACCTGGACTTTCCACACAGGCCAGCAGCTGATACAAATGATAGTTCTCCTGTCCATGAAATGTAACATAATACAGCAAGATTCCAATCAGTAGTGATCCAGATCTCTGGTCCTCAACTTTATCTCTTTGAGATCTTACAGGGTGTATGTCTGTGGGGGGCCTGTCCCTACTTTTTCCCTCAGGGTACTCTTGAGGAGGAAGAAGTGAGAAATATGTACATAGAAATATAGAGGAGAGAGAGACAGTTAGAAACACAGGATAGCCTCGGGAGGGCCTGGGTCAAAACCCACCAGCCCCTTCCGGCTCTACTAAAAGGCTTTTAATGGAATGCCAAGGGGTGGAGCAAAAGACCTCCCCCCAGCACAGCCAAGTGCAGACCATCCCAGACACCTGTAACCATGCACGTGGTCCAGCCATCCCCTAATGCAGCCCTGCTGTGTAAAGCAAGCTCAGATCTCACTAGGAAACCTTTGTGGGCTCCCATATATGTTGAAGTCAGCCTTGAGAGTACAGTGCAGCATTATTTCAGACTACCTCCAATCTATCTTCTAAGGTGGCTGTACATCCATCCAGTGCCTCCATAGGATGCAAGAACAAACAGACAAACTGAGCCTTAAAATACTCTGAGGTCCATAAAGACCAAGATGTCTCTCTTTGAAATTTCAGTGGGATTTCCTGGAATTTAACCATTAGCATCACGTTTAGGGCAGATGCCAAGCTACCTCTAATTCTTTAAAAAAAAAAAAAATTACTTATCAACTATTGGGAGTTGGTTTTTTCTACCAACTAGGTCCTGGGGATTGAACTCCAGTCATCAGCCCTGGCTGCAAAGGCCTTTACCCACTGAGCCATCTCTCCAGCCAATCCCTCTGACTCTTAGGTTGCTTGGTCCTCTTGGAAAGGGGCTAGTGGCTAGCATTAGCCTATGAGGTATAGTTCTACAAATAAGGAAGACATGCCCTTTCCCTCAGATAACACAGTCTCGAGAAGAGAGCTGAGCCAAAATCTCAGCACCCACTTACCTTCTGCAGCAGGCATCCCTGAGCAGGGCTCGCGTGTGCAACCCCGGGAACCGGATCGTCTCATTGACTGGAAGACACTGACCTCATCCTCAGGATATGCGCGTGGCATTTGGCATCGTGGGATTGTGCTATCGCCGTTATCTGAGTAAGAGCAGAGGCTTCCTTGGCACCTCAGAGCACGTGCGGAGCTCAGAGAGGCGCCTTTGGCCCTGCTCTATTCTCAGCTGCCCAGCTGTTTCCGAAAAGAACCCACAGCTCCTGGGCTCCTCACCGCCGACGTGAGGACATCATCAGAACCACGGTTAGAAAAACAGCTCATCTGTTCCAGCTTGGCTTATTCAGTCCAGCAGGCACATTCAACAGTCGTGACTCCACTGAGTAAATTCGGACTGTTGGTCATTAGTTCCAGAAAATCTTCCCTGGCCCACAGCCCTTCCCCTGGCTCAGGCAGAATCCTTTGCTGTCTTGTGGCCCGCTCCGCTCCTCTTCTATGCTGTATTCCTTTAGAATTTGGAGCATATCTTATTTACTGTTGCTCATAGCCTCACTGGCAAAAAAAAAGAAAAGAAAAAGAAGTATATAAACATATAAACTAAAAAGCAAAAGCCTTCCTCCTGTCTTTTCCTATTTCAATCTCCCTCCTCTCCTCACCAAGGGGATCATCCACAGTGTTTGTTACATATCCTTCCAGAACTTTCCACCTTCAAGAAGGAGGATACCAATAAAAATGCCAACCGCTGCGTGTGTCCCCGGGTCAGAGGCTGACCATTTTCTCATGAAGGGTCTTAAGTGAGCTACAAAGCAGGCCTATAAGATTGGTGTTGTTTCTACGGCCATTTCCGAGTAGAAGCCACCGTGGGACTTGATGTTAAAATCAGAATGTGAGCTCAGGCAGGCTGACTTCAGAGCCCATGCTCGCCTGTTATTTTGTCAGTAAACACATTTTCATACTTTTTCTTTACGTTTATAAAGAGTGTGTGTGTGTGTGTGTGTGTGTGTGTGTGTGTGTGTGTGTGTGTGATCACCAGCATGTAGGTGCAGTACCACAGCACATGTGTGGAGGTCAGAGGACAACTCTGTGGAGCTCTGGGGATGGAACACACACACACACACACACACACACACACACACACACACACACACACACTTACCCATCTTTGAGATTAGCTACCACTATGTAGCCCAAGCTGGCCCCAAACTCATGACCACCCTCCCTGAGCCTCTCCGGTGTTAGGATTTCAGGGGTGTCCCACTACATCATCCTGCTATTGACTTTTTTTTAAATGTTGCTTCAATAGGCTATAAAATGCAGTTAGCCATTCTTGCACCAAAAAAACTTCTGGGGTTTTAAATTTCTCTATTTCATCAAATCTAAGATTCTTTTTATGGCTAGAAGCATCCAATTTCAGACAGATAAGATGTCTTAAAATGTGCATCTTAGAATTAGTATAATAATTAGAATCAATGCTTCAAAAAACGCATGCTTGTACATAATTTTCATGTGTGAATTTTTTATAGTGATTCACTAGAAGTATAATTGTCCATAAAAATGAAGAGTCTTTTTTTTTTTTAACATAGATACTGTCAAATTCCCTCTAGAAGACCATATGTCAGTCATCAGGGTCTCTGGTTCCCTTAACAAAAATGTGTCACATTGCAAGTAATAAAAAAATAATAATACTAAATAAATGCTCAGTGGGATGAAATGCAAGGCATGGACTAGGAAATCCAATGCATTTAAAAAAATATAATACACGCACGACAATGTTTTTAAAAAGTGACTGACTGTGTGGAAGACAAGAACATTTTAGTAAAAGGGTCTGTATTTCTACTGAAGCCCTAAACGCTAACACATTTTATGCCTCATGTGTCCAGAGTCGTTCCAAGGCACCTTTCAAAACGACTTATCAACAGGTCGTACTCTCTCAGCTTATCCAACCTTGTGAGCTCGGACTCGAACCCGGGAACTCTGCAAGATCAAGCGCCCCGCAACCGCCTTGCCATCTCGCCAGCTCCCGGTTTCTTAATTCTACTTGCCCTTTACAAAGACCCCCATCAACTGGAGAGCGTACAAACTTGGAGCGAGGTGGGCGGCCCCGTCCGTGGCCTCGCCAGCTCCGTCCGGAGCGGGACGAGGAGGGCACGCGAGCGCCTCCTGCGGGCCGTCAGGAAGCTCGTCCTGGGAGCGGCCGGGAACGACCCACTGCGGCTGCGCGCTGCGCGCTGCGCGGCCGGAGGAGGCCGCGGGCGAGCGAGCCCTCTCCCAGGACGGAAACGGAAGTGACGCCGGGCTCGCCTCGAGCGCTCCGTCCCCAGTGACCATCCTGCCTGCGCGGGGGGCCCGGCCGGAAGCGGAAGTTGCTAAGGGGTGGGAGAAGTGTGCCCGACAAGTGTCAAGTTACGCTCCGGCTCCGGTCGGAGTTCTAGCCGCGGCTGCTGCCTGAGCAGGTAAAGCGGGGCTCGGCGGGCGAGCGCGCGCGCGCGGCCCGAGGGGCGTGGCCCGCGGTCCCGGGGGTCCCGGGGGGTCCCGGCTCGCCCCTTCCCGTTTCCCTGTGTCCCCCGCAGATCCCCCCCCCCTCCCCCGCCATGGGCAACACGAGCAGCGAGCGCGCCGCGCTGGAGCGCCAGGGCGGCCACAAGACGGCGCGGAGGGACAGCTCCGGGGGCGCCAAGGATGGGGACAGGCCCAAGATCTTGATGGACAGCCCCGAAGACGCCGACATCTTCCACTCCGAGGAAATCAAGGTGCTGAGTCGGGGGCCCTCCGGGCCCTCTTGACTCGAGGGTGAGGGGAGGGAGGGCCCCCCACACACACACACACTTTGCGTTGTTCCCGCCACATTCCCAACTTCACACCTGGAGGGAGCTGCTGGCCCCGTCACCGCCCTCCTTTGCTGCCCCGGAACCTGTGCCTAATTACCGATAGGAGAGTCACCCAGGGCTCCGTGGAACATCATTAAGGAGAAAGCAGCTCTGGGACCTGAGTTTCAGATTCTTAATTAATTGCGAGGCGAGCGAGCTGTAATTGAGCACCGGCGTCTCCTTTCCCTCTTTAGATGTAATTGATTGCACGGCTTTGCGGAAACTTTGTCTCGGCTTCAGGCCGATCGGCGTTTGCAAAAGTTGGGCAGGGAGTTTCGGTGTTCGTTTCCTAGGTACAACAGGAGCACATATGTTAAGCTGAACATGAAGCTGGCTAGCTGACTGCCCGGGGTGTTTGGTTCCAGACACTCTTGGTCCACCTTGCTAACCTCCCTTAGATCCGGCTGTTGCATTTGAGGAGCTCAGTGACCAGGAGTCACTCGGAACAGCAGCCAGCAGCTAACTGCTACTCCACCTCCCCTTTACTGAAACAGTGACCTGGACTGGAAGCAGACCAGAGCAAACCATTTTTTGCAGGTCAAGCCTGAAAGTTCCTGCTTGAGCCACATCCTCTTAACCACAGCGATGTGGCCAGTGCTTCCGGCCCAGTCCAAGGACATTCGGTGATTCAGTGGAAGGAGCTAATTCCTTAGAATAAACTGCAAGGGGAAGGTCGACTCTGACCTGCACAGTCTGTTACTGTCTTGTTGCCTGTGAATCCTCATTACTTAAACAGGCTAATTGCCTGGTCGCTCACTCGGCTTTTACACACCCCCGCCCCCAAATTGGGCTAGGTATATCGACATTATTATTCTTTGGATCTTGATTTTGAGTCTAATTTTGAAGAGCCTGCTCTTATGGGGACTGCATCTTGTTACTGTAACTTATTTTCCCCCCCGGCTTGCTGCTTTGGGGGAAAGGTGTGTGTTGTGATCTTTGGAGTGATGTTTTCTCCAGGGTTGAGATTGTCCCCACCCCTAGAAGTAATTTTGGCCCAAGGCTATTTAAGAGGAAGTAAGTGTTTGTTGTGGCAGGTGTTTATTCACCGTGCCCTCTGCTCTCTTTGCTGTGAGCTGAGTAAACTTTGTTTTAAAAAAGAAATGGGGGTTGTTGCTGTTCGCGACAGGGTCAGGGAGTGGGGATTTAAATGGCATTCCTTCTCATCTCATCAGTAGTAACTGGGCCGCCTGATCAAGTCAGAAATCCCCCCCCAATTGTGGTTACAATTAGTGATCGCTCTAAAGCTGTGGGTCACGACCCCCTCGGCAGCCTTCTGTGTACAAAATATATATATTTACACTATGATTGATAACAGTAGGAAAATTACGGTTATGAAGTAGCAGCGAAAATGATTTGATGGTTTGTGGGGGGTCAGCACAACCGGTGGAACCGTGTTTAAAGGGTGGAGGCAGGAAAGTTGAGAACCACTGCTCAAAAACAATTGTAGATTGTTGTTTAAGCTCTAGCACAGATCCAGAGGCTGCAGGCATCTTTTAGATAAGAGCAGATCAGTATCTGGAAGTGAAAGCGACAGACGCTCCTAAGCTCCCCTCAGGGCGTTTTCCCATCCTAGAAATCTAGTCTTTGGCTTTTCTTCTGACTAGAGAACTGTTTCACCCCAGGGTTGGATGTCGTCCTTTCTCTCTGTCTGGAGTAAGTCGATCACTCTCTGAAGTCACTGGATAGTATCATTTGTCATAGTGAAGGGACCAGGGTGTTTTACTAATCTGTTTCTCCAGTACTTGGTGAACAGCCTCCCCCCAACCATCTGAATTTGCCAGATCGTCTGTACCCGGAAGTCTTCCTTAATGGAGGGAAATCACATGTATTAAACTCACCTTGGATTCATGGCAGTCTTCTTCCAAATCGGCCGTATAGCTTCCTCTAGAATTTGTGTGAGGTCCAGTCTCAGTAACAGTAGCTAATGATTAAGCACCCAGTGTGTGTCAGACTATCTCAGTCCTCACAGTACTGACAGAAGCCATTTTTTTTTACTATCTCCAAATGCAGGTGGGGAACAGATGAGTATTAAGTGGCGAGAGCTGCCTGATTAGAGTGTGGTGGTGTTCCTAATAGGCTGACAGTCTGGTGGGGGGATGCTGCCTGACCCTGAGTAAATGGCTCTGCTTCTTAGGCTCCAGAGAAGGAGGAATTCCTGGCCTGGCAGCATGACCTGGAAGTGAATGACAAAGCCCCCGCCCAGGCTCGGCCCACTGTGTTCCGCTGGACAGGGGGTGGAAAGGAGGTCTACTTGTCTGGGTCCTTCAACAACTGGAGCAAACTGCCCCTCACGAGAAGGTAATGGCCTGGGCTCGCAATCCTCGTGTGGCCTCAGCTGTGGGTCTGTTCTCGTTTCTCTGGGTGCGCGGCGTAAAGGGTATTTTCCTAAGATCGATGGTGAGTGAGGAAATATTTCACTCAGTGAGGTAGAGTTCAGATCTCCAACCCTAGAGTCGCGGTCTCTAGTGCATGGTTGTAGAGGACAGCAGTGTCTCAGGAGAACATTTCTGAGCCATCCTTGACACTCAGCTACCGTTTCTTCTGAAGAAGTTGTTCCCGGGGCAGTGGAGAGTGCGGGGATGGGAACCTCGGAGGCCTAGATCCGAGCCCACATCGCCTGCCCTCAGCAGCCGCCCCGGTGCCATAGATCCGAGCCCACATCGCCTGCCCTCAGCAGTCACCCCAGAGGCCTAGATCCGAGCCCACATCGCCTGCCCTCAGCAGCCGCCCCGGTGCCATAGATCCGAGCCCACATCGCCTGCCCTCAGCAGTCACCCCAGAGGCCTAGATCCGAGCCCACGTCGCCTGCCCTCAGCAGTCACCCCAGAGGCCTAGATCCGAGCCCACATCACCTGCCCTCTGCAGTCACCCCAGAGGCCTAGATCCGAGCCCACATCGCCTGCCCTCAGCAGTCGCCCCGTGAGGGACTGTCGACCAGACGACTCCCTTCTGTTACTTTTGGAAGGTTGGAAGGTACATGTTCTGAAGACATTAGCAAAGATGGACTGAGTCGCTTCCTCAAAACCCCGCACACTCACTAGTGACCACTTGTGATGAATGGAGAGCAGTGCCCTGCTGTGCCACCTGATGATTGTCAGAGCCCCATGTCCCCATGACTGACACTGAAGGGGGAACCACTGGGCCCCGAGCCACAAGTCAGCTCAAGTCAGACCCAGAAACAACTAAATGGCAAGGGCTCAAGAATTGCTGGGTAGTTACACATGTGCATGCGTGTGTGCATGTGTGTGTGTGCATGCCCTGTTACACTGGCTGTCTCCCTGTCCATGTATATACGCGTGTGTGCCCTGTTGTTAGACTGGCCGTCTCCTGTCCGTGTATATATGTGTGTGTGCCCTGTTGTTACACTGGCCGTCTCCTGTCCGTGTATACACGCGTGTGTGCCCTGTCATTACACTGGCCATCTCCTGTCCATGTATGTACGCGTGTGTGCCCTGTTACACTGGCCGTCTCCTGTCCGTGTATGTACGCGTGTGTGCCCTGTTACACTCTCCGTCTCCTGCCCCTGTATACGCGTGTGTGCCCTGTTGTTACACTGGCCGTCTCCTGCCCCTGTATATACGCGTGTGTGCCCTGTTGTTACACTGGCCATCTCCTGTCCGTGTATACACGCGTGTGTGCCCTGTTGTTACACTGGCCGTCTCCTGCCCATGGAAAACTGACGAAGGGAAAGCTAGGCAGCTGTGTCTGCCTTTGTTGACCCCTCCTTGCAGACTTGAAAAGCATGAATTACCATTTGTTGACCTTTCGGGGTTAGGATTCTGGTTCATGGTGTCTGAGCAGAGGGAGTTTTCTGGAAACTCTTGACTGCTGCTTCATTAAGTGGCCTTCCTAGGTTGAGACTAAGACCGTGAATTGTCTGAATTGGTCGAACATGTCTGCTCTCCTGCAGCCGAACTCTTGGTTGTACCTGGAGCCAGAGGGCATCCCACCCAGCTGAAACACTGCTTCCTTTCTTTCTGCAGCCAAAATAACTTTGTAGCCATCCTGGATCTGCCTGAAGGAGAGCATCAATATAAGTTCTTTGTGGATGGTCAGTGGACCCACGATCCTTCTGAGGTACTCTTCCTGCAGCCCCCGGCCCTCTGGGTACCTGCACAGCCAACACCAGTCACCTCCCTTGTGACTTCCCCGCTTGTGGCTCCAAGTTAGATAGCGCCAGTTGCCAGACCATTGGTATAATTGACCAAGAGTAGCTAGCCAGGCGGTGAGACCTTCCAGCCAGGAATTCTAGTCCTCTGGAAAATCCCACAGACCTTCCATGTTATGATTTCTGCCTGTCTGTCTCTTCCCAGCCAATAGTAACCAGCCAGCTT